CATTCGTGTTAAAACTCGGCAGGCATTTCACGGAAGAAGGGCGGGTGGTTTTCAACATGTGAGTCCCGCCTGAATGCCGCGTACATTCGTGTTAAAATGTTGCATGCATTTCACGTAAGGAGGGCGGTTGGTTTTCAAAATGGAGCTCCTGCCTTTGCGCAGCGCTTACAGCAGTTACAGGGATTCATATGGCTGATGCCCAGAAGCGGTGTTTTGGAAACATTTGGGGATGTCAGGGCGCGGCAATCACGTTGATTTGCGGTGCTGACGTCCCGGGAATCATGTTCTGGGACACTTCTGGATCGTCAGGACACAACAGTAACGTTGATTCGCGGCGTTGAGGTGCCAGAAATGGTGCTTCGGCGTCAATGAAGATTTTCAGGCGGTTGTCTTCGAACGGGGCAATTCCCGCAACGAACATAAATCCTTGTAGGGACCTCTGAAGTGGGAACTTGGAGGGAGGGATTATTGCAACATCGTTGATGAGTCTTGGGTTTGCACTGCTCCTCCTCTTCCTACTCGTTCAGGCGCGCCTTTCCGCAACTCCACTCCTCTGGGGGTTCCCTTCTCGTCGCTGCGGCTGGCGGGGGTCGGTGCCCGAGGAGGGGTCCGGGGGGCCGCTTCCGATCTGATGCCGGCAGGGGAGGAGCGAAACAGACGGCGGGTGCCCCGCCCCCACTTTGCGCTTTGCTCCCCATCAAAAATATGACGTGCCCGATCCACAGGAGCCTCTGGGAAACGACACCCAGAAACCTACACCGCGCAACACCGCTCAACGCCGCTCAGGCAAGGGCGCGGCGCGTGCGGTGTTGTGCGGCTGTGTTGCTCTGACCAGCTGAGGGCTATGATTTCTACGAAGCGCCTACGGGTGGGGCGAGTAAAACATAGTATTCTGACGAGCCCAGATATCCGACTTGCTGTCTTTTTTCAATGCGGATCAGCGGCACCCGGGCGGCGTCGCCAGCGCTACGGCTGCGAGCTGGCGGCGGCGTCGAGGTCGCACAGGTCGAGTGGGAACGCGTCGACGTCCTCATAATCATGGATGGGAGCGATAGAAGTATTCGGCGATCGGCCCTCGACAGCGAATCCGAACTTTCCTGGGCGGGGATGGGCCATCAGGCCCCTCATCAGCGATGACTGAGCGAATTGTGGTCGATGCATCCCCCCTGACCCTATCCCCCCTAGCGCTGCCGCTGATCACAACTTGATAAGCGTCGTCGACACGTTTGCCAGCGTGGACCTGACTTGGTATATTCTCGCGCTCTCGGTGTGCAGTCTGTGTGGTGCAAGATGTGTGTGTGTGTGTGTGGTACTAGCTGTGTGGTGTAATCTATGTAGCGCAAGCGCTGTGTCGTGCAAGCTGTGTGGTGCAGGCAACGTGATATAAGCTATGCCATGTGGTGTAAGCTATGTGGTGCAAGCTGTGTGGTGTAAGCTGCGGTGCACGCATCGCACGGCGGGACGCCCACGAGGCGGCCACAAGGCGATCCTCCTCCTCCTCCTCCTCCTCCTCCTCCTCCTCCTCCTCCTCCTCCTCTCTCGCTCTCCTCCTCCTCCTCCTCCTCCTCCTCCTCCTCCTCCTCCTCCTCCTCCTCCTCCTCCTCCTCCTCCTCCTCCTCCTCCCTGTGCGCACGAGGCGGCCACGAAGCGGCCTCGGGCGGTCACCAACTGGGCACCAGGTGAAACCCCGGCACACCCACCCAAGCACCCAAAGAAGCGAAAGAAGAACCCCTAAGTGCAACCACTGTTTGGGGAACAAGCGAAAGCTTCCGGAGGTCCGCGTGGATTCCTGGGATCGGCGCAGCAGACCTCCGAGAATTTGTGCTTGTGCCGCTTTCTCTTCCTCGAGTCCTGCTTGCCCCGCCAGTGCACGAACACGTCGCACGAGTGGAACCGCCGCCGCCGCTCCCGGTAGGCGGGGTCGGCCAGGGCCTCCTTCAGCCAGCCGTAGGTGCGCGGCGCAGCCGCGCCGCCGAGCGCGCCGTCCGGCGCACCGTCGGCAACGCCCGCCCGCGCGCGCTTTGCCGGCGGCGGCTGCGCCTCCGCACGGGCGCTGGCCGCCGCCGCACCCGAGGCCGCGGCCGCGTCGGGCGCGGCCCCAGCCGCGCTCGGCGCCGCCTCGGCGGCCGCGGTAGCGGCCCCGGCCGCGCACGGCGCCGAGGGCGCTGGCGGCCCGGCCGCGGCCTGCGGCGGCAGCGTCGAGGGCGCCGTGGCAGCGTCGAAAACACCACGAACGTATTTTGGCGCTCCGCGCGGATCCAAGAAATCTGCGCGGAGCGCCAAAGGTTTCTGCTTATGCCGATGTTCCTTCTTCGACACTCGGCCGATCATACGCCACCCGAGCTCGTGATCCGATCGCAGCCCTGACCACGATGGCTACCGCGCCAGGTTTCGGATCGATCGCGCGTTTCGGCTCGGACGATCGCGTGGTCCAGCCGAACCGATCACTGCGATCTGTGATCGCCGATCGCGTGCTCAGCAGACACTGAGGAGGCAGCGGGCGCAGGCGGCGGGGCGGGCGTGGCGCCGCCGCGGAGCTCCGGCTCTGGGGCGTCGGCGGCAGGGCCGCCGCGCTCGGGCCCGCCGGCCGCGGGTAGCTGTGCGCCGTTTAGGCGCGGGAGGGCGCGGAGCAGGTCCTTGGCCATGAGGCACTTGCAGAGGGGGGAGACCCAGCTGTCCAACTGCTGGGGCGCGCCGGCCTGCAGGCACAGCCAGCGTCGAATCGGGAAGCAGATCCGAATCAAGACTCGAGCTGTGCGTCGCATCCGGCTGCATCGGCACTGAGTCGAGAGCGAATCGGATCGGCAACGCCAGGATGCACAACACCACGACGCAGACATCGGGCCGTACAGGATCGATGGCATATCGGCACTGGATCGGATAGCGCTGACCGCAGTCGATTCGAATCGGCTCGACAGGATCGGAATGGACCCTGGCCTGCGGGCCCTTGCCGCTGGTCCCGCCGCCGAGGCTGGCCTTCTTCCCCTGCCGGTCGCACCGCAGGCCCTGCCGATGGGCCGATTTTCCATCACCACTATCATATAAGAGGGAGGAGGAGGAGGAGGATGAGGAGGAGGAGGAGGAGGAGGAGGAGGAGGCGGAGGAGAGAGGAGGAAGGAGGAGGAGGAGGAGGAGGAGGAGGAGGAGGAGGAGGAGGAGGAGGAGGAGTAGGAGGATGAGGAGGAGGAGGAGGCTGAGGAGGAGGGGAGGGGAAAAAGAGGGGGGGGAGGAGAGGAGAAGGGGATGAGGAGGAGGAGGAGGAGAGGAGGAGGCGAGGAGGAGGAGAGGAGGAGGAGGAGGAGGAGCAGGAGAGGAGGAAGCAGGAGGAGGAGGAGGAGGAGGCAGGAGGAGGAGGAGGAGGAGGAGGAGGAGGAGGAGGAGGAGGAGAGGAGGAGGAGAGGAGGAGGAGGGGGAGGGGGAGGGGAGGGAGGTGGAGGGGGAAGGGGGAGGGGGAGGGGGAGGTGGAGGGGGGAGGAGGAGGAGGAGGAGGGAGGAGGCGGAGAGGAGGAGGAGGAGAGAGGAGGCTGAGGAGAGGAGAGGAGGAGGAGGAAGGAGGAGGAGGAGGAGGAGGAGGAGGAGGAGAGGAGGGAGGAAGAGGAGGAGTGAGGAGGAGGAGGAGGAGGAGGAGGAGGAGAGGAGGAGGAGGAGAGGAGGGGGGGAGGGGGAGGGGGAGGGGAGGGGAGGGGAGGGGGAGGGGGAGGGGGAGGGGTATGTGGAGAGGATGAGGAGAGGTAGGAGGAGGAGTGAGGAGGATGGAGGGATGGAGGAGGAGGAGGCGAGGAGGAGGAGGGAGGAGTAGGAGGAGGGGGAGGAGGAGGGGCGGAGGACCTCCCCATCCTCCCTTCTCCCCCATCCTACCTGTGGTAGTGGCGGTGGAACATTGGCCCACGACCTGCCGCTCGCCGGTGTGGCCCATCAGCACGTCGAAGAAGCCGCCCACGCTCCGAGAGATGGACCGCTCGTGCGCGCCGCCGCCCCCGACGGCTGGGCTCCACGCGACGCTGAGGCCCACGGTGGACACCTTGGTGCCGTTGGGCTTCAGGCCGGCCCCGGACGCCTCCATAGCCTCCAGCGGCGGCGGCGGCTCCTCCGCTCCTCCTCCTCCTCCTCCTCCTCCTCTCCTCCTCCTCCTCCGGCGGCTGCGCGGCGGCGGCGGCGGCTCCACCTCCTCCTCCTCCTCCTCCTCCTCCTCCTCCTCCTCCTCCTCCTCCTCAGCCTCCCGCGACCAATGGAACGGCACCAGGGTGTGCCGGAAGTCGGGGCACCCCAGCCCAGTTGCAGCGGCGCCAGCGCGGCAGTAGAGCGCCTCGCGGACGAAGGGCTCGTCGAAGAGCGGGCCCCCGACAACGATGGAGGCCATGGCGACGGGCTTCGGCAGGAGCCGCGACAGCAGGGCGCCCTGCCACCCGACGTGGTTCCAGCGGCAGATCTTGTCGGAGCAGCTGTCCCGGGGGCTGCTCAGGGTGTCCCCGGCCCGAGGCGCGTCCCCGGCTTTTCGCTGCAATTTTGAGCCCCTGCAGGGCCCTCTGAGCCTCGCGAGGGGTGCCCTGGAGGCCGTGGGGGCGTCCCTGGAGCTCCTGGGGACACCTTGGGCCATGGGACACCTCGGGCAACGCCCGCGCTGTAGCAGACGGAGCGCGACTCCTGCTTGGTGTCGCTGCGCCCAGACTTGTACCTGAGGGGGGATGTCAAGGGGGGACCTTGGAGTACCATGTGGGACCTGCTCTAGAACAGGAGCATACCGTAGGCGGATCTACCCTTCCTCCGACCTTGCACCGCGCCGAACGCAACGGCCACGTTGTCCATAGACGTTTTCACCCTGAAAGTGTCCATGGACGTCACAGCATCCAATGTGTCCGTAGTCGATTGTGGCTAGGACGTGAGAACGGTATTTGGCATCGGCCCCAGATGTCGGTCTTCTAGAAGCAGGTAGGCTTGGCCCTCCAAGAGGGACCGGCTCAGGGGGGGAAACATCGACCTGGAGTCGGCGATGCATCGCCGATAGATCGGCAACGGGCCCAAGATGGCGAAACCGCGACCTCCCAGGCGGGGTGGGCTATCGTGACCCTGTCGGCGATGAATTGGCGATTGAGGGTCAAAATGCCCACTCCTCTCTCCCGAAAGCCCCGAGGTCGCAGCCTGCCACCCTCCGCGTATTGCTTTTCTCTTGGGAGACTCCTAACATGGTCGATCCTATGTATTTTTCCCACTCTGGACGTCTTCGGTGTTTTCAGAATGCCGCTCCCGCTACAACGCTGGCTCCATGTTCTGGCTCGCGGTCCTTCCAAATCACACTCCCGCTGCATTGCTGACCGCATTTCTTTGTTGCGGATCTTCCAAAACGTGTTCCCGCTACAGCGTTGGCTCTCATTTTACGCTTCCGCTCTTTCCGAACCGTCCCTTTACATTTTTCGTCTTGTGTCATGTCTGCTTTCCCTCAGAACCTGTTGTCTAAATGAATCGTGCTCTCGACGAGCGCTGGCTCGCCTTTTAGGTTCCCGTTGTTTCCTCACCGTCCATTTACATTTCCCGTCCTGCGTCATGTCTGGTTTCCCTCAGAACCTGTTGTCGAACAAGAATCGTGCTCTCGACCCGACGACGCTCTGCCGTGCTCTTCTACGCCGTGGTACGACGTGGGCTACCATGCATCTCGTACCCCTTCGGGTCATTGCCCTGCTCGACATCCGACTGTGGGAATTCAGAGAGGACATCTACGCCATGGTAAGGGAGGGGAGGGAGGGGTAGGACGTCATCTAAGACGCTTGCGCACCTAGCTTGGCCTATCCCCTCTGTCGATGCCCCCGGTTATCGGGTCATAAGCCAGCTTTCTGGCGGCTGTTCGGGACCATCCGGGCACCCCGGGAACGCTCTCGGCGAGCCGCAGCTGCACGGGAGCATCCCGAGGCTGGAAAGCCGCCGACAACCAACGAAGACGCCCAAAAATCTCAAACCGAAAACCCTATCCTGCCTCAGCGTTGCTCGTTAGCGAAAGACATATCCGTATCCTCAGCCTCGCGAGCCCCTTGGGGGCGCGATCCCGCGGATCCGAAACGTTTTTATCGCAGATGCCACGCGCGGAACGTATCCGTGCGACCGCGCATCCACGGGATCGCGCCCCAGAATCCAGACCGCGAGGGCGCGGATGCGGATATTTCGGGGGCGGGCAAACACGGATTAGCGATCCATGGATCTGGCGCGCGGTCGCCAAATCAATGGATCGGGGGAGGTGCCCTCCCCAAAATGCGGCCGGCGCCGCCTCTTCCGGCGGCGGAAATCCGCGATTTGCCGTGGAAACGGGACCCGTCGCTAATCCACGCCCCCTGATCCATGTTTGCAATCGCCTGAATATTGTCGCCGCTCGTGAGTTGCCCCCGAGTGCCGCAGGATGCCCCGGAGGTGGAAGTCCCCGCCCGCCGCGCGTGGGTCCTGTGGCATGCCGCTCGCTGGCTTGGCGCCCGTGCGGTTGCTGTCGACCAGCGGCGCGGCGCCCGGCGCGGCCGCCTCGCTGGCTGGAGGAACGACAACGCGGCAGAAGCCTACGGCCGGGACCTGGGGTCTCGACTTCCAGGGGCCTTGCACTGAAAAAATCAACGAATGCCGGGTATGTATTAGGGGAAAAAGAAGAATGACACATACATAAAAATCGGAGGTCCGTGCGGATTTCTCGGATCCGCGCTGGACCTCCCTGGCGGCGCCTCCGGCGCCGCCCCTGGCGCGCTCCGCGCGCCAGGGAGGGGGTTCCAGCGCCGATCCTAGAAATCCGCGCGGGCCTCAGAGTTTTTATGTTTATGTCAGAGTTGCAGTGGGAGCAGAGAGTCGCCAAGCAAGCGCGAAAGGCCACGGCCAAGCGGCAGTCGGCAAGCACTCGTGCAATATACGGTCGGGACCTTTTGCTCTCAGCGCGTCGCGGTGGCGGCCCTGGGCGACACGCTGTGCCGTGCGAGCTGACAGCGTGTCGCTCCGCTCCGCTCCGCGGGGTGGGAGGATCGGGGTAAGCTCAGGACGTGCGAACATCGTTTAACCGATCCACGTTCCCACCAGCGTGGGCCGGACCCCACTGGCCGATGGACCCCCCTGATGGAGATATAGGCTGCTCTCTTCGGGCTTCGGGGGGCATATCCCTAGCTGAGGCGGTGAGACGGTGGGGCTCGAGATGTCGCTCGTACCCAGAGGGAGTCCACACGGGGTCATTAGAGGCCTACTCGGGCACCCTTGTAAGCTCCACGAGAGCAAACGCCGCATGTTCCGCCCACCCCTCCACATTGTGGCTGGCGGCTGGAGCACACTCGTAGTGTCAAACATGTGATGTGCCGTCACGATGGCTTCCACGATCTCCAAAGTAAAAGCACCCCCGAGACCAATCCTGGTGCACAAACGTAGGCGGGGCTCGAGATGTGGATGGGGCTGGGGCTGGGGATCGCTTCAACGATACGGGACGTGGACGCCCGGGGACTGCGGGCGTGGCCAGCGCGCCGCGCGCCGACGCGTCTGGTGGGCGTCGGAGCCGGCGGAGCGACACGCGGAGCACGGGTTCTCCCGACCACGGGCTCTTTCGGAGGTCCGCGCGGATTTCCTGGGTCGGCGCGGCATTCACAGATCCTCGCGCCGACATGCTCCTGGCCTCGGCTTCGGTCATTCGCCTGGCTTTCTGCCTCGGGTTCTGCCTCCCTCCCCCAGTGGCTTCGTGCTGCGCTCGCTCGCCTCGCTCCCCAATCGGCTTCGCCTGGCCTGGGCCCTGTCTCGGCACACCTGACATGCCTTGGTGGTGCCCCTCCCCCCGCTGGCGCGCGGAGCGCGCCAGGGGCAGCGCCAGCCACCAGGTGGGTCCGGCGACGATCCAAGAAAGCCGCGCGGGGCTCTGAAAGCTTACCTTTGTGCAGCCCGTTCTTCCTCCGCCGTCATCGCTCGGCTGCGCACCGCGAGGCCCCGGAGCGGCGCGCTCCCCGGCGCGCGGAGCGCGCCAGGGGCGGCGGCGGAGGTGCCGCCAGAGGGCTCCAGCGCACATGCGGCCCCCTGCCCTGCTCTCGATCGCGGCCTTCGCAGGCATCGCCCCTGCAGGCCCCGGAAGGCTGGCGCCCGGCACGCCACCGCCACAGGCCTCATGGGGGCAGAGGAGCACCCAGAGGCCCTCCGGGGCTCGCAGCGCGGATGGCCACGGAGCCCGCGCGGAGAGCGCGCGGCGGGCCTGGACGTGCTCGACGGCGGCCCCCGTGCGTCGGGGCGGGGGGGCGGAGAGAGCCTGCCGAGGGCTCAGGGGCCCCCCTCCTTGGGCCCGAGGCCTGGCCGAGGGCGACGCGGGCCCCTGGCACGCCGACCACGGCAGCCCCCCCCCCCTTCCCCCGCCCCCCTGTTCGGTCTCCTATTGGCGGCGCCGCACGAGGGGGGGGGGGGGGGGGGGGGGGGGGGGGGAGGGCTTCTTGGACGGGGGCTGCTTCTGAGAGGGCGCCAGCCTCACATCTATGGATGAGGCCCGCGCTCTCTAAGGAACAGGGGTGCTTCTGAAAAACCCTCCCCCCTCCCCCCACCCGTCGCTGATACCCTCCCCCAGGATCAGCCACGCGCAGAGAGGGGGGGAAGGGGGAGGGCTTCTAAGAACAGGGGTGCTTCTATGAGAAACCTTCCCCCCTCCCCCCCTCTCTGCGCGTGGCTGATCCTAAGTCGCCCGAGAATTTGGCCAGCGGGGACGTCGCAGTGGACGGCGTGCCGCGCCGAAGCGCAGGCGCCACGGCATTGCATGCGAGGATCCCCCCCCCCCCCCCCCCAACGTGATCTATGCAGCAACGCGGGGCAACATGGCCATGGCCAGGGCACTCCACTGGTGGGGAAACCTGGCCAACACTCAACATCCAAATCTGGCGGAGCGGAAACACTCCCTGAAGCCAAAAGCCGTTCCCGACCGCACGCTTGTGAAGCTGCTGCTTCTTTTACGTCGGGCATGTCCTCATACCGGCGGACTTTGGAGGAACACAACTGAAATTCCGCCGGCCCACGGGCCAGAGGCGGCTAAGAATCTCCGGTACTGTTCACAATAGTCTAGTTCGCGCGCGCGGGGCGGGCCCGGGGGGTGTCCTCGGACGAAAAGTAACCCCGGCAAGGTCCCCGCAGACTCCCGGCAAGGCCCCGGCAGACTCCCGGCAGACTCCCCGGCAGCCTCCCGGCAAGGTCCCTTTTCGAGCCCAGGAGGGTTCCAAACGTCCAAGAGAGGCCCGATTTTCGCCCTCCAGACGGTCCAAGAGAGCTGGGAGACGCCGAAATATCACCCCCAAGCGCCTGCGATGGCCTCAAGACGGCCCAACAGGCCTTCAAGACGCCCCAAGGTCCCTAAGCGGCGTCCCAAGAGGGCTCCCACAAGCAAAAATCGTCTCATTCCCTTGGGACAGCGTGCATTTTTAACATATCCGCCTCTTCGTCTGTCACACCTTTCAAGGCGGTCCAAGATGCCCCCAAGATCACCCCAAGACGGCCCGAGAGACCCTCAAGACCGCTCAAAGACGGCCCAAAGGCGCTCCAAGAAGGCCCAAGAAACCCTCAAGACTCCTTTTCCGGAGCCCAGGAAGGCAAGAGGCCTTTCAATCGGTCCAAAGGGGCCCGAGTCGAGAAGGCCCCCAGACGGTCCAAGAGAGCCGGGATACGCGAATATCACTCCGCAAGCGCCTACGAATGGCCTCAAAAAAC